TCAAATAAATCATTCTTTGATTTGAATTTGATCAAATCAAATCAAATATAAATTTGAATTTGTATTTGATTTGATTTGATTTTCAAATATTCAAATATCAAATCGAATTGCAAAACCCTAATTATAGGTTACCATTGCCTCCTCCTTCCCTTCTATGTGATTTATTATTCACGTGATTAAAAGTGACCAATAATCAAGCATTATTGTATTACTATTTGAATATTTTATTAAAAATAAATGCATTTATTTAATTGAATTCACATATTATATTTCAATATTATCTAATAAAAATAAAATTTAGTAATGAAAAAACATTTTGCACTTGACTCGTAATATCCATCACGTCTACATAATTACATCTATATAATTACGTCTTTAATCATCTCAATTTTTTGTCTAAAACCTTCTTAACATGTAGGCTTTCTTAACTATATTCAAATATAATAAAATTTATATTTATACGACCCCTACAAATCAGCATCAAAGATTTTGCAATGCTTTTGAATATTATCATATAATGAATACAAAAAAACCTATATATCTAAAATCTAGTTTATGTAATGAATATACTAATACATGAAAAGAGATTCAACATAAATCACAAGAAGAAATCAAAAGTAAAATTAGAGAATACCTGACAACTCCAATTCTAATGCAAGGGTTTTAACAGATTAGTTATTTGTGATTCAACCTATTTCAAAGTTCAAAATCTACCCAAACTGATTAAGCCTCTCAAAACAATTGAAGAGAATATTGTAGTTAGCATCGCTCTGCCTCCTAATGCTGTTGCATAAAGAAAAGCCGCAAAAACCATCAGTGCAACTAATATAAAGCTTGCTAAACTTTAACGAACTTATAATTCTACTACTGATTTAAAGATTCAGCATAATATAATAGAATGCATAACAACTTTCAAGCAAATTTTGCATGGTAAAGATATTAAGGTTAAAAAATTAAAGCACTATGTAAAATATCAATGAGAAAGCAGGGCAAAAAAAGAAAAACTCCTGTGAAAAAAATTGCTAAATTAAGGTTTTGACGAGTAAACAAGAATATCAAGAGGTAATAAAATCTAATTCACCTGATCAGCCACCTCTTTTGATTTAGTATTCCAATTTACATGACTATATACACAAAAGCATTGAATTTAAAGCCACAGATAAAAAGAAAAGAAAAGAAGTTATTAAAATTAAAACAATTTAACATTTTTGAGAGGCTCTCAATTTAAAATATAATGAGTATCTTTCTCGCATTACCCTTAATATTTACTTGTTGCTATCTTGATCGAATACTACAATAGCAAAAACTCATCACCACCCAACTATTATTACAAATGCATCTGTTTCATGAAATGAACATGTTGATGAATATTATTATCTTGTATCTGTAAAAGAAGCAAAACAATTTGTAGTCTTATTTTCAACTCATTCTGTTATTATTTTCCAGGACGATAAAGCCAAAATTTCTCTTGGTATTCTCGCAGTTAGAAGAACTTTCAAACTATACAAAGTTTCTAAAAGCTAGTTACTTTATCCGATCATGATTTTCTGATTGGTATGCAGTAAAAGCTTATTCTATCAGTTTACTTGCCTATTAACCTGAGAAATACAAATAATACTCTCCATAATGGTTAACTTTCAATTTTTGTATGCCCACAATATCAAGTTGATACAAGCTCGACCACTCATATAAGTGACCTAAATTCGCTAACTCAAGACAGCCATTTTGATGAGATATTAAAAATTAATGATCAAGTCAAATTTATTTGGATTCTTTTAATTGATGAAGATTCAAATGAAAACTCTTGTCACATGAAAAATATTCTTCAATATTATAAAATATTCTATACCTTCAATCTTGATTATTTTTCAGTTCAAACACATGTATCTAGTCAATTAGCGTATAACCCTATTGAATGTAGTATAATAACGCTCTCTCAAAAACTAGATGGAATAATATTGCCAATCAATAAGTATAGTTCTCATCTTAATTCTCAAGATCAGGTAGTTGATTTGAAGCTTGCAATGAAGAACTTTCATTATACTGGTGAGACTTTGTGTTTCCTTTGAAAACGTGATCTTATCCATAGGAAATCAGTCACTGTGCAATATACTGATCAAAGAAACCCTCTATTCGATGATATCATATTTTTCAGATCTGAAAAAGAAAATAACAGCAAATCAGCAATATCTTAAAATGGTTAGAAAGTCATATCAAAGTATGTCAATACTTACTTGATATTAAGAAATGCGAAAACTCTTCTTGTTGCTCACCTAAAAGTTACAAAGAGGTAGCCATTCTTCTTGCGGAAAATAATGGATTTCTCCCACCTGTGACAAAAGGAAAAAATAGGCATTTCCTAAATTTACTTCATATATTAGAATATTATGATAAGCTCAAAATACCTGTATATGATGTTCACTATCCTTTTATTAGTTTAAGTAGTGTTCGCCAAATGATTATGACTGGCAAATGACTCAAATGACAAATGATCTGTCATTTCAATTATCAAATAACCAGTTATTTCAATAATTTTTAAATATAGCATATTTTATAAATTTTTATTATTTATTTTATTTATTATAGTATAAATAAGTTAAATTTATTAAAATATTTAATTATATACACTATCCTATTAAAAGTATCCGGTCAAGCTCTTTTTGATTTACTCATAATCTAATATAATAATATGCATATATTTTTATTTTAAATGAATGCCATGGTTTTGACGATTAAAATAAATATATTTATATTGTGTTGTAATAAATACATCAGATTTAGCATTAAAATAAACAAAACATTCAATTTTATTGTTGTTGATCTTTATTTTTTTTGGTTTCCTGCACTATTTAAAATAGGAAAAACTCATTAATTGAAAGCATGTCACATTAAATTGAAGCATGCATTAAAAATAATGGATGGCTAACTAAATAATAAGCATTATTTATAATTTAATATAATTTAATAAATTTAATAATAAAATATAATTTTTATTAGTTGACCGGATACTTTTAATAGGGTAATGTATATATTAAAAAAAATTATTTCATATTGGGTAAATATTTTATATAGTATATAATAGTATATTAAATTATATTCGAGTTCTGAACGAGTCGACTCAAATTATGAGTCAGACAAGTCTAGTAAAGTTAAGTCAAGTGCTAAACTTAAGCTAAAAATTAAACAATTTTTTAGTTTCATTCTAAAGGAATGATTAAAAGCATTATTTCGATAGAATGATAGAAGAATCATTTTAAAGGAATGATTAAAAGCATCATTCTGATAGAATAATAAAACAATATAGTATCATTCTTAAGAAATGATTTTTTGTATTATTTCTTTAGAACAATCTTTATCGTCCTATTGGAATGATTTTTTGTATCGTTCCTTTAGAACGAATGATTTTTCATTATTCTGATAGAATGACCTTTTATCATTCTTAAGGAATAATTTTTTTATCGTTCTGATAGAACGATGTAGTATCATTCCTTTAGAATGATGTAATATCATTCTATTGGAATAATTTTTTATTGTTTCTTTAGAATGACCTTTTATTATTCTTAAGGAATGATTTTTTTGTATTATTCCTTTAGAACGATCTTTTATCATTTTTAAGGAATGATTTTTTTTATTGTTCTGATAGAATGATGTGGTATCATTCTTAAGGAATGATTTTTTTATTATTCTGATAGAACGATGTAGTATCATTCTTAAGAAATGATTTTTTTATTGTTCCTTTAGAATGATCTTTTATCATTTTTAAGAAACGATGCTTTTAATCATTCCTTTAGAACGATTCTTCTATCGTTCTACTAGAATGATCCTTCTATTATTCTTTAGAATGATTCTTTATTGTTGGGAAAAAAAATTGCAAAACTCGCTAAGAATTTGCGATACTTTAAGAGTATCGCTAAATTTTTTGTAAAGCAAATGACTAAATAACAAATGATTTAAATGATCTTAAATGATCTTGATCATTTATTAATTGTTATTTAGATTATTTGTGAAATGACAAATGCTAAATGATTTATGATTATGACAAAGGAATAGACAAATCATTTAAATGGTCAAATGATCAGGTC